TGATAAACCCTAAACTTATCATCATCATATTCTTCTCCGTACTCTAATCACTCTCGAGTGATAAACCCTAAACTTATCATCATCATATTCTTCTCCTTACTCTAATCGCTCTCGAGTGATAAACCCTAAACCTACAACACTCTCTTCTTATCATCATCCTATTCTTCTGCTCATTCAAATCGTGAGGAGATACACCCTAAACCTGTAACACCGTCTTCTTGTCATCATCATATTCTTCTCCTTTCGTACTCTAAAAAAAAAAAGCACTGCTTATGCTGCTCAAATTGCTACTGAATAATAAACCTGACAAAAAAAGATTAACTCCAAAAATTTTAGGCAAATCCAATGCAGGTTTTCCTGTACGTTCATCTCTAAAAAGTTATAAATCTGGAAAAAAAAAAAAAAGTTCTAAATCCCAATATACCCAATGCCATATTGCTGCTAAAAAAAGTAGCCCTGACAATATAATGTGAACAGATGCACCTCCTTCGTAATCAATCCTGAGTGATACACCCGCCATTTGGTAATGGCAGAAGTTCACACCGCTCTTCTTCACACCGTTCATCTAAAAAGTAAGCGCAACCACGGGCCTAGGGGCCTAGCCTACTCGCCAAACTTAGCGTATGGAGAGTAGTGCAACCAGCCCCCTGAAATACCAAGGCCGTGAAATAGAGAGACACGAGTTGGAAATCAAATGAAAGCAGCAGATGAGTACAAAACTGTAGTTCTGAATTACCACGGACCGGTCAGTTCTTCGATGGTCAAATCGCAAGTTCGTTTATCGCCCTTCAAAAAAAAAAAAAAAAAAAAAAAAGTCACAGCGTGCACAAAAGACAGTCCACAACCTTTGTTTGTCACCATTCTTGGAATGTGCACCTTAACGAGTGTTGTGCGTACGAATTTGTAATGGAGTACTTCCAAAGCGTCCACGGAAGGCAGCTATGGCGGCCGCTGCCTGACACTATTCTTCTTCGTGGCCCTACCGCGGCGCGGCGAAAGCCGAAAGCGTAGATGACTCCCAAGCACGCCCCCGCTATCCTCCCCCGCCAAAAGATCGTACTTCTTTTTCCGCTTCGTCGATCTATATCTAAGTTCGTGCCACGTCACGCTTTCCTCATCTTCCTCTTCTCCTCGTTCCACGTCACTTGACATACACGCCACCTTTCCCAGCAGCCCCTCTCTTACCCCCCCTCCCCCCACCCAAAAGAAAAAACAATTTTCAATCACGATGTGCCTGCCACGTTGGATTGCAAAACCCTCCACTGTCATTAGTATTCGTCAAAAGGCGAAGGGTTTTATGCTTTTGCCGTGACCTACGATGCTCCAGGGGGAAGCTTTTCTCTCCCTTCCTCCTTTCTTCCTCTTCATCGGTCGCAACATGCCCTGGTACATCAGACGATAGACCTTACCGGCCATCATGGTATTCCCCCGCCTTCCTCATCTCCTGATTCTCCTCCTCCTGCGGTTAAGCACCCACCACTCTCCACCGACCCCAGTTTCTCACGGTCTTCCCTCCAAGATTGCACTCTCCTTCTTCGACTTCTTGGATCGCGACGTGACTGTCAAAATCTGTCCCTCCGACGAGATTTCTTCTCCTTCGCTAAGGATAGCGGACCGGCTGCCACGTGGAAGGACAAGACCGTGTTCGCCATCTCATTTGCTCTTCTCCCACCTCCTTGTCCCACTCCAATCACGTCATCGCCAAGAGACAGCATACCATAGCTCCCTTTGCCTACCCCCCCCCCAATCCAGTGTGTTAAGCCGCTCCTTTCTTCATACTTACATGAGGCCGTATCGTACTCGGCATATTTTATACACCAAACGGATCGATTACGCAGATTCAAAGGGAGGAGAAGAAGCAAAGAAAAGAAGGAAAAAGAGAGGGAGGAGGACCGAGAGAGCCCAGACGAGAGCGACAAAAGAGCGGGCGCCTGTTTCACTTTGAAGAGAGAGGAAGCGTGGCAGACAAGGGAGCACAAAACCCAAAAGCCGTAGAGGAGAGCAAGCACATATTCCGCTCTCTAGAAATGAACATATGAACAAGAGAAGAGAGCAATACGAAGGGGGAGCAGAACACGCCGGAGGGGGGGCGCCCGGCGAGGCCGAGTGGGGGGGCAGGGAGCAGGCCGCGCGGRGRGGGGGGGGGGGGGSGGGGGGGCGCAAAGGCGGGGCGGGGAAGCAGGCCGCGCGGAGAGGGCACGCACTTAATTGCAATTTCGACTTCACGGCAGCGACGGTAGCCTCGTGCACAAGAGGGAAGGAGGATGGTCGGGAGAGCGGATGAAGCGGAGAGCGGGGAAGTGGGGGGGTGGACACGGGTGGAAAGAGAAGGAGAGGGGGAGAGGTGTGATGATCGAAACTCCCGCGTTCAACAAACTAACCCCCACAACATTCACGAGTCACTCAAATACCAACAGCCAACAAGTTGTTGGTACACGACAGATCCATGCTATACGAGATTCGATGAGCTTTTTTTCAAAGCAAGCTCTTTCTTAATTGGTAGAGTTATGAATATGATTTAATCTGTTAAACCCTAGGCTACCAGAGTGGCCAGGGAACCACTAGCCCGGCCGGGCCAAAAATAATAATAATAATACTTTTTTTCAATTCTGTTTTATATTTTTTATTTGGTAAGCAATTTCGATGTAACCCTTAGAGGCAAAAGTTGTTCAGTTTATTTTTCCGTATAACATAATTTTTTTTTCAGAATTTCTTGATTTTTTTTTTTTCATTTGCTGGGATCTTCTAGGGTCCTTGCATGGCCGGGCAGCCCGGGCAAACAAGGTGATCCGGACGGCCCGGCTGGCAGCCTAGGTTAATCGTTTATTAGTAATAAAATCCGATTAATGGAACTCCGTTATCACAGCTGCATTGCCGTCGAAACTCCGCTACAATGACAGAAGTCCCTGATCTCTGCTGCAACAACTAACTGCATATTAAACCACCAGTACCTTTCTTTTTTATTCTTCTTTTTTTTTAATTTGGACCATTTCTCGATTTATGCGTGTCATCCGTGCGCACGCAAGGGCCATGCTAATCTTGTCTAGGTTCTCTGTATCGTTCCAATTTTAACGGATGCCCCCAAGGACTACCACCAGTACCTTTCCCAAGCAAACACAAAGTCGAATTCGAGCCTCATCCGAAATCTTTGGAGTCTCGGGGCTACCTGACCACAAAGAATGGGGGCGCCAGCGAAAAGGAGACAAAAACGCCGCGCTGGCGCTTCGGCACCCACCCATTGGCGCACAGCGCTACTCCGCCTCGGCCAAAAAAGGATCGGAGGAAGTGGTGGGAACGGACCAGATTCATCTGAATGGGAAAATCGGATGCCATATCCGCGCTCTCTCAGCACGCTCTTCCGATCTGTCACCCTACATTTCCCGCCACAAATTCGGACAACGTTTCTCCTGTTGATTCTCCTAGTCCGTTTTTTTATCCTTTCTTCTTTTTTTCATTCTTACAAAGAAAAACACGGCGACGGTATTTCAAGTATCACTATGGAACTGACCAGCCCCAGGTAACTCAGCACAACTCATGAGTTTATTCATCTGATGCAACCAGGACTCGAACTCAGGTCTTCTTATCAACAGCTCATGGGGGCATGGGGGTGGTACCCATCCAGCCACATTGGTCTCTACACTCTACACTATACAACCTACCTCGTGCAAATTTTTCCATTCCCCTTCGATATATATAATTGCCTACCTCAATGCCCCTGGTGCACTGACCACTGCCCAGTAGCTTGTGGTCGCACGTGCCCTGAGCGCCTCCCAGGCGACAAACACCGTGCACAACGCTTCGGCAAGTTGGCACAACTTCCGTCTATGGCATACGTTGTAATGCCATACTCCTCAAACTATCATGAATGCATCTAACGACGATTACCGTCACATTCAGTCGAGAAGAAGCACTGCCAGTAGTCTTACGAGTTTTTTCCCTAAAGAAACTGCATCATCGATTCTTGAAGAAAATAATTTCGTGGCGTGCGTACATTCGTTCCTTGAATTTGTACGAAAGTGCTAGCGCGCAATTTTCATAACGAAAACGATGCAGCGGAAGAGAGAGAGAGAGAGAGAGAGAGAGAGAGAGAGAAAGAGAGAGGAGAGCGAGAGAGAAAGAGAGAGGATAGAGAGAGAGAGAGAGGAGACAGAACGAACATACCGCTACTCTTCAGGAACGGGATGAAACAGTGACCAGAGGGAGCACGGCTAAAGCTCAGACCTATTGAATATTCAGCGAATATACAAAGATACGCTAATCGTCCCGACAGGCTTTCTCAATAATCAATGTCGTCATCGCCATTTGATATTCTTTTTCGTCTTTCTTTTTCTTCAATACTACTGTAGTCAATTACCCAAAAAGCGTCTTTCACAAGAAAATAGAAATCCAAATAATGCTCACAACGACAAATCATCCAAACGAAAAACAGAAACAGAAACTTCAGCCAATCAAAAATGCGAAAGAACGAACGGCGACTGTGCTCACAATCAATAACAGATCGTTCAAACGAAAGCTAAGCTAGCAGAGTGGCCCGGGACAACTTGCCCGGCCAGGCCAAAAAAAAAAAACGGTTAAGAATTTCGATGTGACCCTGAGGCAAAAGTTATTCAGTTTATGTTTCTGCATAACATTTCTTTTTCGGAGATTTTTGTTTTCTTTTCTTTATTTTGCTAGGAACCCCCCCGGTCCTTGCACGGCCGGGCCGCCCGGGAATATAGGGTGACCCGGGCAGACCGGTTGGTAGCCTAGAACGAAAGGCAAAAAAAAAAAAAGAATACAAAAAGCAAATACATGGAAACGAGCAAACGGAGACCCTACCAAAGAAGCAAAGAGCAACAACACCAGACAGCGAAGGAAATATATCATCCATTCATTCATTCATTCATTCATTCTCTCACTAAGCAGGACGAGACGATTCAACAAAAGAGAGACACAAAAACAGCCACAAAAGGAGAGAGAGAGAGAGAGAGAGAGAACGAACGTCGGTCATTTTACCGAAACGACGAGGGAACAATTCCAACCGCTGCCAGATCGACGAAAACAATTCACAGTAAGACATCAAGAATCGATGATGGGGAAAAAAAGAAATAGACAACATCACATCATATGAATGTCAAGAATTTAACACCCAGATAAACGTTAGATAAACGATATCCAGTACAGATAACGTTCATCTACTACTCGAATTATCAGATTCTGTCATTACCATCATGTGATTCATGTCAAAGAAAAAGAAAAAAAAAAAGACATTACATGCGAAGCGGATCGAACTTCGACGACGGCGAGGATGATGGCAGTCCACCGCCTTTACTACTCTCTTCAAAAGCTTTGGCGATGGTTCTTTTCATGTCATCGTCTCCTTCGTCGTAGAGATTCTTCATCATCCCCATGAGTCCCGCCATCGGGTCATCCTTCCCACTCTCCGACGATGCTTTGAACTTATCCTCTTTATGGTATATATCAATCCAATGACCAAAATCCTGTTTCTTCAACTTGATGATGATTCTCTTGGGCCTGACGATAACTGACGACGCGTTAGCGTTGATAGGTCCATTCAAGTTCGGTATGCCGCAGCGGTAATGCTTGCCGTCGGGATGGCGGATCTTGACATCGAAGGACGTGGAGGTAAAATGCGCATCCACTCCGTCTGAGGAGACCCCCTGCAACGAGTAATACAACTTCACATGCTCCGTCGTTTGATCCCAACTGAAGCTCGAGAGAGGGGTGTAGGAAATACTGATCTTCGGGCCGAACGTTGTTGGGGGCAACTTCACACCAATCGACTTCGACGTCGTAGACGAGGGTTCGATCTTCGCTTCTCCGGCAGTCAAACTACTCCCATTTGCGTCGGGGCTGCTGGGCGCGACGGCCATAGGCGCAACGACTATATCATGGGCGGCAACGCTCTTCGAAGCAGCAGCATTTTCGGCATCCCCCTGAGCGAGGGCCACTTCCCGCTCAAACTCCCGAAGCCTGTCCGTCAATACCTGGACGACACGTGGCCGCTTCGCGATCTCTAGCAATTTACGCACCTCCTCCAGGTCCAGGGTAATCTCCGACGTTCCCGCCATATTCACACTTCACTCGATCGTCAGTCCCGATCGCTCGTTCTCGTTGTTTTCCCGCTCTCTCGCGCGCGCTTTCTCTACTCTCTACTCTCTATTCCTCTCTCCACCCCTCACTTCGACGCTGTGTCTTAGCCGCGGGGTGCAATCACGGCGGCTCAACGCTGTCGAGAAGATACGAACTGACAATCCCAGGGCGACAGGCGCAGGTCAGCAGACAAGTTGGTGTGCCTCTGTGAATTTAAAAACACGGGGGCCAAGACAAAGAAGCCTCTCACAGAACGTAATGAGAAGAGTGCGGCAGCGAAGCGACGAAAGACTTGCAGATATGCCGGACGGACAAACGAACAAAAAAACGACGCAACTACGGTACGTACCAATGCAAAACCAAGAGCGCGAACGGCAAAACCCAAAAAACCGTGACGGTGTAGGCTTTATAGCCAGCGTGCGTTTTCGAATCATGGAACCGCGAGAGCATACCCGCACTTCGGTAGGATTCTCCAGGGTGAGTCGGACTCCAAGGGCCTCGCTCCACTACACAACACTCTACATGCATTTAGACGGCTTCTAGACCGTATATGCATCCGAAGTGTTCGACTCATCCACCCAGCCTACCTGTTCCAGATGCGTCCGGATGCATGTAGAGTGTTGTTAGTGGAGCGAGGCCCCAAGTACAGCCTGGCCGCGTGGCCGCCTGGCCCCGTCCCGGAGGAATCGAACTTTAGGGCCTCGCTCCACCACTCTAGTAGACTCCCGAAGTTTCGAGAGTAACGCCTCGCTCCACTTAGAGCCTCCGTCAACACCACTTGAAAATACTTGAGTTTCAAGTGCATACTAAACCAGAAATGCACACTAAACGAGAAATTGTTATTAATTTACACTTACTCGATTTATGGTTCCATGTACACTTGAGGAACCCTTGAACAGGCTGCACTTGAAACCGAACTCCATGGCTTGAACAATCCTGGAGTGTACTTGGAGTGCTGGCGGTATCCGCTGGCACTTGAACTCAAGTTACCTCCAGGAGGTGACTAGAATTCAAGGGTGATTTGGTTGTGTCACCCTTGAGTTTCAAGGGCACACCCTTGGGAAGCAAAAAAGTGAAAACAAAGCAGGTCACTCTAAGGGGGAGGTGGAACAATGATTTTTCGCTTCACTCTTGAACTCAAGTGGTGTCGAACGAGGCCCTTACTCTAGATTGACTTACCGTGAGGGCACGGGTGCGCAGCCGTAGTTCGTTTGTTTAYGTGGTTCGGGAAGGGTAAGGTAGTGATTATGTTGTATGTATGTTTTGTCATATTCGCTATACACAACTCGAAGAGAGTGTGGGGGGGGGGTCCCGGTTCGTGCTTTATTCACGATGTTCATGGGACGATGGACCCAGTTTCCAGCAGGTGGCGCTCCCCATCAATAGACAGGAGAATGTATGTGCGTGTGTATGTGTGTGTGTGTGTGTGTGTGTGTGTGTGTGTGTGTGTGTGTGTGTGTGTGTTTGTATGTGTGTGNTGTGTGTGTGTGTGTGTGTGTCTGTATGTGTGTGTGTGTGAGAGAGAAAGAGAGAGAGGGAGAGAGACTTGCAGCATGCAGCATGTCAGTGGTGGGGAGCGCAAGGGCAGGCGCTGACCTCCAACAAAAATAAGTAATTTTATCGGAATACAATAGTTTTTTCTTTTCGAAATCCGAATAGAAAAGGTACAGGTTGTTTTTGTATACAACGTGTACGTTTTCTATTGGAGGAACTCTGTTATTCGAGAAAAGTGGACCCGCACCATTTCAATTTTGAAAAAGGAATGCGGCCTCCTCGGCCTCCTACGCGCAACTACAGGTCCTACGTGGTCCTTGACCAAAACCTGTGCGGTCCCATGGGCAACTACCGGTCCTGCAGTTTCAAATCAAATGCCACCACCCCCTAAACTGCCATGCCTTGTTTTTCCAGCCCTCCACCAACCGTATAAAGGACGACTACGAAAAATGTTCTCAAGGGCATAAAACGCACCCCTCACGGGCTGCGAACTGAAACTCATGACAACACCCTTCGAGAGCTGTCAAAAAAAACTCTCGAAGAGCACTCTCGATTTGTATAGAGTTTACAGCCTGCAACGCTCAAGTTTTCTAGCGTCCTCCCTCATACCCTCGCTTCGACCTCTTTTCCGTGAGTGTGCCTCTTGCCCTGACCATCAGAATGAGATGATGCTGTCATCTAGCGTTGTAGAAGGGTTGTAATGTAGCGCTGAGAAATTCATGAGTGCTTCTATTGTTCTTGAGTCTGGAGTAAGTAGAGTGATGTTTCGTTTTTCAAGAGTTATAGACCTCTGACAGTTTTAGAAGCACTCATGAAATTTTTCGTGAGTCTAGTGTAGTGGAGCGAGATCCGCAATCATGACCAGAGAATGGTCGTCGTTCCACTACATAAATCCAACATGTCGAATGTATCTAGTCGAGAGAGCATCCGTATGCATGTACGTGTTGTGTGGTGTACAGAGACCCAATCGTTAAAAAGTCATCGCCCGACCGGTATGTGAGTGTGCTCTTCTCGTATGGACCACGTGGTTCCATCAGCAGAGTCCGGTCAGCACAGTAGGGCTGCCCTTGGCTGGATAGGGCCTGAGCCATGCCATTTAGGTCCACCATGGACTTTTATCCCTGTAGAACATGATGGGCCTCGCCACACTACTCTCGACTTGGCTATTTTCAGGAGTGCAGCATTGCCACACCAGCTCCGAGTTCAACCTGTCAGATTGAATCCGGGAGTTGTCCGAATGTGGCTCCAGAGAGCATTCCCGAGATCTCTTGAGCCTCCCGCCTGTAAAAGGTCATTTTTGGGGGACCTCTTGCGGAGGTCTGTGTTTTGACCGGAAAACTTGTGCGCAGACAAAGCATTTTCCTCACAGTTTTCGTCGCCACATGTTGGACATTGTTGGACAGTCTTTGTCTGAAGTGCGCCTCCTTATCTCTAAATCGGAGAGCGCCCTAAGTCGGGAGTGCAAGGCGGTGAAGCGTACTCCCGAATGAATTTCCGCGTCTTCTGACGCTCGGGAGTACTCCCATAATTTTTCTCAAACTTGGGAGTAGTGTGGCGAGGCTGGATATCCCACCTAACCTATAAATTTTCATGGTACTAGCTACACCATTCGCCAAAACGCCACATTTGGATGTGTCCCGACAGAAGACAAGTCCAAATTTTTTCTTTCATAATTATGGCATTCGGCAAGTGATACGAGTCGCTATGGGTCTAGCTCCACAACTCACCAAATGTGCAAAATGAGAATGAATCTTTCTCTACTTTGAGTCTTTGCAAAAGGTCCGCGAACTTTCATCTTGTAAGCTAAGTTGGATGATGCTTTCAAATATCTTCGGGGTCAAGTCCCACATGCACCGTTGAGTTGAACTGGCTCAACAATGTGATACTTTTTCTGCCTTTTTTTTATTCGCTCGAAAATCATAATGCAATTTTTTAATGTCCCCGACGATATTTTTTTGGATTTTTTTTTTTTTTTTTTCAGTGGAGCATGTGTCCATACACCCATTAGGAAATTTTGGTTGTCGGACAACATCAGAGAGAGAGAGAGAGAGAGAGAGAGAGAGAGAGAGAGAGAGAGAGAGAGAGAGATTGAAAATGATTGAATAGGTGACCATTAATCCCAGAGGGCAGTGCCCTTGGGAGACATTTTCCAATCATCGAAGATCCTATAAATCACTAATCTTCACCATGACTCAAATGAATATAGACGTGTATTCGTTATGGATGCAGAATAGGAATGCCACGAGATCCATAGTAAGGATACTCGCACATTCATTTCGACTGATAAACCAGACACGTCATGAACTCATCGTCCGTGAATATCGGGGAGGGAGGGAGGGAGGGAGGGAGAGAGAGAGGGAAAAGAAAAAAATGACCATCCGACGACAGAGAAAGAGAGAGAGAGAGAAGGATCATCTGATGAGAGAGAGAGAAAGAGAGAGAGAGAGAGAGAGAGA